AGGAAACTAAACTCCCTAACTTATGCGTCAGCATAAAGCAGAAAGGCGCTGAAAGTGTTATAGTGGCTCGAGTCGTCACAGAGGAAGCATCCCTTGGCCAACTTGACTGACACTTTGTCTCCAGCTTTCAGTTTGAGGGCAACAGCTATGGTGGTGCTGTCCTCCTGGTCGCTCCTGTTGAGTTCTCTGGATCCAGCCACTATCTGGCCGTTGACCTGCAGGCTGGTGCAGACAGCCAGCGTGTTGCCAGGAGAACCGGCGTCACTAAAGGAGGTCACGGCCAGGCTGTAGACCCCGGGGTAGGTGACAGTGAAGACGCCAGTGGCCATGTTGTAGGCCATTCCCAGGTTGATGAAGATATGCTGGTAAGCGATGACGGTGTCGACCCCAAACGGTCCGAAACACTTGAAGTTGTCTCCGGTGTACAGAGAGACGGAGAAGGCAACACGGCTGCCTGCGGAAGAAAAGATTAGAGTAGTTAGAAAGTAGAACTGTGATTTCTTGTCTAAATATCTTCTGAATGTGATTCTCACCTTGAAGGGTGACAAAAGTTTGGTTTACTTTATCTAACTCCCTCTCCAGATTAGTTAGAGTTGTACTGAAGTACGTCTGCAGTCGGTTCGTCTCACGCACCATCTTGCAGCATTCACATGAAAGCGTGTCCACATTGCAGGCTGAACACAAAGACAATTTAGCGTCCGTTCAGGTGAAGATGCACACATTCATACACTCTTAAAAACACAATCACAAGTCCTCACCGCTGGCTGAGCTGGTGACGGCGCCCGGAGCGGCTCGCTCAGGTCCATCCCATTCGAACTGACTCCTACCAGGGGCCACATGCAGCAAGCACAACAACACGACAGCTGGAGAGAAGAACAAGCAAAAGATGCATGAACATTTGTCGAGCTTTGTAATTTCATGTTCTTTTGTTGTGTGTTAATCTCACCTCTCATGTTGGTGATATACAGACAGCTTCTAGAGGGAGGACAAGGTGAAAGAAGTGACTGTTTGGGGAAAAGAATCTTGGATATATAGTTCTCCTGGGGCTCCTCCCTTACCACCTCACATTTACGGTTCTCCTCTTTTAAGATCGCTCCACCTTGTTTTGTTCTTCTTTAATTTGGCCCCCTGCTTGCCTCTGTAATAGTATAACTGGGGGTATTTTCATCACTGGGTGCTTACAGAAGCAGCAACACACCCTCCAGTTCTTTGTTGTTGATGCAGGGCACATATCACATATCGTCTGCAGGGAGGTGTTGGTTCTGTCACACCAGGAGATAACAAGAGATGCCTTGAAAAGTTCTGGACTTGTTTCCACATTTTGTCATGTTTCAATATGGTTTTTTAAAAATACAAATCTGAACAGATTCATCTTCACTCCAGTTATGGCAGTGAAGATGAATCTGTTGGCTTTTGGTCAAAGTCTCCACCAGCTCCAGGACACGTTCACACAGCAGGAAAATGCAACCCAAATCTAATTCTTTTGACCATATGTTTGACGTTTTCACAGCGGCTTGTACAGCCTAATTCCAGTCTTTTCACCCCCCTCCCCCAAAATCTGGTTTGTGCCACTTCCAGTTAAACTAAATTGGATATGTATCTGATAGTTTTCAAAGCGACTGCAGTCTGAATGTTCACGTTGCATCTCATCCCACTTTTACATCATCGATGTGAAACGTGCATCATAATTCTACATCAGAAGAAACCAAAAGCAGTAAATCTGGCTGTCATGAAATGTGGTTGTGTGGTTGTGATCGCATCTCAGAGTCCTGCTGTCATCACATCTTTTGGAGCCATGCACAGATTTTCTCGCAGGATTTCCCTACATTTAACTCCATCCACTTTACCTTCAATATGGACCCGTTTCATGATCTCTGCTAAACAAAAGCATTATGCTGCCACCACCACGTATACAGTGCATGTAGGCTATAAAGTTCAGTGGATTCAACAGTGCTCTGTGAGACGCTTTGAATATTCTTTAAGGAATATTTAAAGTATTTCTTAGTCTCCGTTATATTTGTCCCTTAATGCTCTCTGGGAAATCTTGGAGACTTTTCATAGAACAGCTGGATTTAGGTAAATCCTAATTCACAATTAGATGACTTTTGAAGCTATCCTGGATTTAAATTAGGGGTATCAGAGTAGAACGTGGCTGAACACTTGCCATTCGAGTTTGAATTTGTAAGAAATGTAAAAAGCAACATCTCTTTTTGATTTCACCCCACAATTATGTGTAACATCATTTTATTGTATAAAATCACAACAAAATAGGTTCTGCTTCATGGCTGTGATGTGACAAAATGTAGAAATAGAAGGAAAAAAAAATCATCTGCAACATCAGATTTAGTGTGAACTTTTATTTTTTTATTGTTGTTTTATTCGCTCACAAATTTATGCTCAGAATGACAGCTGTAGGTTTAAGTCCAGTTTATTTATTTTATCTGAACAATGAAAGCAACTCATATCAGATCATTTCATTGGAACAGGGTCAAAAGTTACATCCAGGATACCTCAATTAAAAAAAAGAGAAAGAAACAACAGCTAGGTTACTTGTTCATATTTACTCTTCAGTCGACACGATGCTAACAATTTATGCGCACGACGTACAAACTGAGCGCAGCGGATCAAAGCATTGAACTCATGACTGTTGACCTGAACAGACGTCGTCTAGCAGAGTTAACGCCAGAGGCAGCTACGCCGTCTCAGCAGCATACAGCAGGAAACCGGTGAACGTGTTATAGTGGGTGGCGTCGTCGCAGATGTTGCACCCTTTCAGCAGGATGACGGACACCTGGTCGCCGGCCTTCAGGTGCCTGGCGATCACAACGGTGCTGCTGTCCTCGCTGTCCAGTCCGTTCTTCTCAACGAGGGTAGCCACTGCCACGCCGTTCACCTGCAGCTGGGCACAGGTGGCCTGGGGCAGGTCAACAGGAGACAGGCTGTAGACGGTGGCCGCCAGGCTGTAGACACCCGAGCTGGGAGCGGTGAAGATGCCGGTCTGAGCGTTGTAGCTGTCTCCCAGGTTGAGGAAGATGTGCTTGTAGGGGACCCGTCTGTCGTCGGCTACGGGGCCGAAGCAGGTCAAAGTTTTCTCGTTGTTCAGGGCGACAGAGAAGGCGCTGCGGTTGTCTAAAAAAAGATAGATAGAAAAAAAAAAAAAGATCTGCTTAATGGGATCAGAAGGCCATGATGTTCTGTGCTGCACTCTGCTTGGCGTGAACACTCACTTTTGATGTTGTTGAGGGTCATCTTAGAGTTCATGAGCTGCTGGCTTATTTCTATGGTTGTCATGTTAAAGAACTGCTCCATCCTCGCCATCTGCTTCTGCATCAGACAGCAGCCACACGCCGCTTGGTCGTTACTGCAGACTGTACACATATAAGAAAACATACAAACGCTAGCTTTGGAGGCGAAACTTGGTAGGGACTCCGTCTAAAGAGACATTTAACCCACTTTTGTTTAGATTAGGGTCTGCAGCAGGTTGTGTGACGGCAGGTCCATTCCAGCCGAATCTATTTTGACCCTGACCAAAAACTGCTTGCAGCAGACACAGCAGAAAAATCGCTGAAACAACAAAAAAACAATGCATTAATCAGGAAACTTTTGCAGACATGCTTTCCAAAGTTTGAACCATCTTTCAAAATGACCATCAAATTGACACATTTTTCCTCTTTTTATAAAAAGCATCAATTTTCAGATTAGCTGTTTTTTTTCTATTAAATTTGTGTTGTTTTATATTTTTAATCAAATTTAAATTTCTTACTTATCTTCAGTAGTAACATTTGTAATTTACAACTCTAAAACATTACACTCCAACAATAATGTCGGTCAAACTTGAACTATTAAAGTCTCACCTCTCATGATGGCAAATGATACCAATCCTTCTGCAGGAGGAGAAAGATATTCACCGATAACACAGGAACAGAGAATATATATTTTTTTCTGTAGCTCCTCCCTTGGTAACCTCCTAACTTTGCTCCTCCTCATTCTGTCCCTCCCATTTGCCTTTAAAACCTGAAGTGTGAGTATAGATTTCTTCATCCCTGTGGCCTCTCTGTCCCTGACATTTCCTCATAGTTTGGGGCTTTGTTCCTCATGCTGCTCAGGTATTATCCGTCACCTGTAAGAGACGCACAAATCTCTTGGATCGCTCACAAAGCTACGTTGTGTCCAACTTCCTGGCCGGGGAACTTCCATTTTTTATTTTATATACATATATATATATATATATATGACAACTACTGTGCTGGGTCAGAAGTGTACAAAAAAAATCATGTTGAAAATTATTCAACTGTAGTGTCCATCCATTTTCTGAACACCCTTGTCCCTCAGTGGGGTTGGGAGGGGTGCTGGTGCCTATCTCCAGCTAACGTTCCGGGTGAGAGGTGGGGTACATCCTGGACAGGTCGCCAGTCTGTCGCAGGGCAACACAGACACACAACCATGTGCACACACACACACCTAGGGGCAATTTAGACAGACCAATTAACCTAACAGTCATGTTTTTGGGACTGTGGGAGGAAACTGGAGTACCCGGAGAAAACCCACGCATGCACAGGGAGAACATGCAAACTCCATGCAGAAAGACCGGGGCCGGGAATCGAACCCAGAACCTTCTTGCTGCACAGCAACAGCTCTACCAACTGCGCCACTGTGCAGCCCAACTGTAGTGTCACTGTCCTCAATATATATGAAGTTTTTTAACATCCTCTTGGAATGAGTAGCAGAAAAATAAGCATTATTCAAAAATCAACTCCTGCAAGGATGAATGACCGAAAGATACTCAGCAGCTCACATAAGTCAGATGTTTTCAAGAGAAAGCGAAACGTTAAGGACACAGACGGTTATTGGCAACAACAGTGCACTACGTTTGAAGGAGTCCAGATGAGCTTTTTCAATCAACAAAAAAGTACCAATAGTCAAGCATGGTGGAGGTAGCATCATGCTGGGGGTCTGTTTCTCTCCTAGTGAAGCTTTTCAATTAAGAACAACAAAACAAGTTTCAAATAAGATGTTTTTTTTTTATTTTATTTTATTGCCTTTCAACAATTTATTAACACTTCAAATCACAATGAGATTGGCGCACAAAATATTCTGGAAATTGCACAGTTAAGTGTTTCCATGCATGTCACGGTCACAAGACATTTTGAGAGCTTAAACGTTAGTTGGAATAATCAAAAACACAGCAACCAATCTACGAGAATCAAAAACTCAATCCAGTTTACAAATGGTGAGAGAGTCCCCTACTCCGGCCCCCAGCCTGAACCCTGCGTACAGTGGCCCGGTGAACTGCGTCTCGTAGTGATGGATGAGATGAGCCTGGCTGTGGGCGATGCTGTAAAAGTTTAGAATCCCAGCATGCTGGTCCAGATAGACGCCGAGCCGCGCAGCCTTGGGCGAGCCCAGAAGTTTCTCCTGGTTATTGTGCCAGAAGGAGTAGCCGGTACCAGACCAGTAAAGGCTCCAGGACTGAGCGTTGTGACCCAGACGACTTTTGTTGTCACTGCTTTTGCGCTCCATGTCCTTGAAAGCAACACCAATGGTGATCTGCGTGGTGGCACAGACAGAAACAAATGAGAGAACAGAAAACCAAGCGATCACAGGAGTAGGTAGCAGGTTTTGATGTGTGACATGGCCCTTCACACAGGGCGGTAGAAGCATCTGGAGGATAGAAAAAAAAAAATCAAAGCGGCAACAAAAATAATCTGCCAGTTGTGCCCAGATTAGCATGTTGTTGCTTATTTGTCAATTCTAAATTGACACCCACACTTGAATCAGAGAATAGATCATTTTTCTGCATTTTTTTTTATAAGTTTTAGAAAGGCACAATTGAATGATATCCATGCAATATTTTCTGTTCATGAAATGACTAAGGGTAAAAGTGAAGGCTTTACTCTCTTTGCTCTTCAATAAAACTGAACCTATATCTGTAAACTTGTCATTTTTCATATTTTAGTTACAGTCTATCACAAAATTTGGAGAAATTCACAAACCAGTGATGCTACTGTGAACGTGCTTCATGGACAAAATCATGAAGAGCACAGACCAGTAAGTGTTGCTTTAAGAAGATGGGAAATATAAACTACGGTTGGACACAGCTGTGAGGAAATCCGCAACAGAAGAAGGGTTTTTTTTAGAAGCTACACAGTCAACCAGTTAATTATGGTCTCAAGTTCTAGCCTTAAAGGCCTTTTTTGCTCCATAATGCAAAAAAACTGTATGCAACAACTGTGTCCAACTGGTCAAACTTGACTAAAGTCTGTGATGCAGAAACATTTTGGATTTGCCCTGGACAGTGTTCACACAGGAGCTTCTACAGACATCAGAAAATGAAATTATGGACAAATTAGAAATGGGCAATCTGCCAAAAAGACTAAATAGGAGTGTTTAGGGACATGATTGGATCTTCACATACATATCTAAAATTTTCCAATTAAAAGTGAACACGACCACAGACTGAGGGAAGATATTAAAAGCAATCCATCCACTAGATGTCTCAACGATCCTCTCCAAAAAACAATCACGAACGTCGATGCCTGAGACAATCATTGGTAGTATTACAATCAGAAAGGCATAAAGTAAGGGTAAAGTTGCATTTAAAGCTTGTGTGTAAAGACTCGCCTTCTGGCCAGTCCACTCGACCTCCCAGTAGTAAGGGCTCCCTGCCAGGGGCTCTTTGCAGAGAACTTGTCTCCAGAAGAAGAAGCGATCAGGGTGGTCAGGTGGATTCAGGTTTTCAGAACGCATTGTGACCTTACGACAATCTTCCGACAGCTTCATGTGGCGGTAGGCTGTGTTTGGGTCTATGGTAGGTTCAAAGCGGACTAGAAAAACAGAAAACATTGTGATGAAGCCTAAGGGCATCTAGAATGCTTCATTTCAGTTTTATATGTTGTACTTCATATTGAAGATTAAAACAGACTCACATTTTAACATTTCCTCTCTTGTTTTTGGCTCTGGATTCACAAGCTTAATTGATCCAGATGCTACAACAGCAAATTCATAATGATGCATTATTAAAAATACAAGTGAAGTGTGACGTTTAGATTAGAGGCATTGCAAGTAGATGTACCTTGAGGCCTAAAAGGTGGGAGAGGTGGAGGGTTTCCTGCAGAGTCGTATCCAAAACAGGTAGGGGAACAGAAAAAAAATTATATACAAATATATATTTTTTATATATAAAAATTATATAAATGTTTACCTTGATGACTCATAGATCCTCTGAATCTTGAAGACTCACGTACTATGGAGGAAACTATGACAATTTTGAAATTGAGAATTAGCATGGTTAAAAAAAAAAAGACAAAAACATCCATATTGAGTGCATAAGAAACTTACACTGATGTCGCATAGGTTGTGGCGGTGGAGAAACATCAATTTCTTCATAGACTATGTATTAAAAAAAAATAATACATTATAAGAAACAAGTCTCTTTCCCATAATAAGAATATTCTGTGTAATATTGGACAGGCAGAGAGGTTTCCAAACCTGAAGCCTGTGCAGCAGCCTGACCAGAATAATCAGTGGACCCTGTGCTTGCTGCTGCCACACCATTGGGTGTTGAAGCCATGGGTTCATGACTCACTGCAAAGACAAACTTTTAGTCCTCAACAAAACAGGAAATAGAAGAGAAAACCATAATGAGGAAAATAATCTGACCTATTTTGACAATCTTGGATAGACTTTCTTTGCAGAGGTTCTGTATGGACTCTTGCAGCTCTTTAATGACCGATCGTATGGAAGCCACCACACCTTCCTCCTGAATAATCCCAGACTGTCCTGTGGCACCAGTCTGCCCCAGCGGCTCCATGAGGAGGAAGTTCTTGAGAAAAACATTGAAAAGAATCAGACTGAACAACCATAACAAGTCATTAAAAAAAAAAAAAAAAAGAATATTTTGTGAAAAGAAAATGAAAATATTTTCTAGAACCATCCTTCCTTACCTTCAGGAAGGAGATATTATCCTGCATGTAAGCCAGCCTGCCCAGCTCCTCACTCTTTTGTTGAAGCTGTGATAAATCTTGCTCTAAATGCTTCACCAGTGTTTCGACTTGTCCGTCAAAGACGCTCTCCTGAGCAATAAGGAGCTCACCAACTTGTGTCCCTGTCAGATTTAGACTCTTCACCAGTTCTGCAAATAAATCAGCGCTCTCCCTTTGAAGGGCCTGCAGCAAGGCCTAGACAGAGAAAGAGAGAGAGATGCCATAAATGCCTTTGTAAATATCTACGTGAAGAAAATCAACAAGGAGTTTCGCTGACTTTTTGTTGACGCGCAGTATGCGGGATCTCCATGATATTCCTCTTGGTCTCCTGGATTCTCCGTTGTACTTCTGCCTGCATCTGGACAAGCTCTTGCTAGAGACACATCAAAGTTTGGTGGACAAAGTGAATAAATGGATTGCAGTGCAGTCAGATCAGAAGTAGAGGCAAATAAAGATAGTTTGTGATCTCTCTCATCTTTATTACGCTCACCAAATATGCACAAAGCACACTAATCTCTTTACTAAGGTGGAAATGACATTTGCCAGTTACATACCTGTCTCTCTCTTCTTTCTTCTTGTGGTCCAACCACACGATGTCCCGTGTGTCCATCCTGGCAACACATCACACACACACACTCCTTGTCTTCATGGCAAAACAAATCCAGTGGTTGCTTGTGTTGAGGGCAGATTCTTTGTTCCACCGAAGGGAGTTGAGGGTACACGCTCCCCTTCCTGGGCCCAATATCCGATATGACGTCCAAGTAGACGGGCATCACCGGGTCAGCTGAATAGATGCCCACCATGTTGCTTTGCTTTATGCTGTTTGTTCTTAGCTTCTCCATGGCCTGTGCAAGCAGCGTATTCTTGGCCACATAAGGTCGAGGCGTGAAGAGCTGCCTACACTGCGGGCAGCTGTAGTGACCTTTGTCGTCTTCCTTGTCCCAGTGGTTTTCGATGCAATTCAAGCAGTAGGAATGTCCACATGTTAGAGTGGTGGGCTCTTTCAGAGTTTCCAGACATACAGAGCAAGCAAAGCTCTCCTCTTCAGGCCAAGCTGAGGCCATGATGATGCTTGAGGTCTGGACGGTATCAATGAAGAAGTATGTCACAGTTTACAAAAATCAATGCTTATAGCAAAAAGAAAGAACAGCAAGGGACCAAAGTAGTAAAATGACAGTTGACTTGAGTCACATGCACTGAAATGCTCAAGCTTCCTTAGCTTGGGGTGGGGCTTGTAGAACAGGTGTGGTGGAGTTTCTTTCTATTATGTCACTGGTGTTTGTCAATCGTTTAAGAGTACTTTTAACCTGAACCATCTAAATCATTGTTTTAAAATTCACAAAACAAAATGATTGGGATAAATGTTTGACATTTTTTGAATAACAATTGGTTTAACTCTCTTTTTTGGGAAATGAAAATAATGAGGAACACTTTTTTGCCCACAACAAGACAAACTGGTTATTTGGCACTAATCAGCCATGACGTAATTCATGGGGTTTTGTGTGAGTTGAATCACTAATTATTTCCCTACTACTAACCCAGCCCTTATCCAAAAAAGAGGAAAAACAAGTCTTATGTGAGGTATGTCTGACGTCTGCACAGGGAGGCGCTGACGCATGCGATGCTCAGAGTCCCAGTTGGATCCGCCTCATTTTTCCAACGGCGCAAGCCATTTAAGGGTTTTTATCTAAGAATTTGTTTTACAGTCTTGTTTTTAATCTTATCTATTAGTGTTGAATATTTAGCCTGTTTTAGTCTCTACTCTTTGGGCGCGGGGTTACTTGCACCCATGTTGGAACGGGGTATAAGCTCTGTGACCCCCCACTTTGTCTACAGCTTTCCACAACCTCTGTGTGTGTTTTATTTATTTGCTTATGATGCAAAATAAGTGTCCAATTCGTGTTAGCAGAACACCCTGCGGTTCATATCATGAGATCTGAGCTCTTTTAGCATTTAGTGGTTTTCATTTAGACTACACAGCTGGAATTAACAGCTGGGCTGTTTTAATGTCAAACAAGAAACAATTCATGAAAATATAAATAAATTGAATCAGTAAAAGTGCTTGATAAGTTGTATTACAAGGTCTATATTTAAAACATTTTCAGTTGTTATACATTCATGTCGTAAGCAAAGCATGTTAAGTTGAACGAGTTCAGTAGATCACCCCTCCCTCGCCGAAAGTGACCATAACTTCTACTGTACATGGCGCCGTTATGAGAAAAAGAAGCGGACCCAAGGGCAGCTAGCCGGGTAGCACGACGAATAACCAGGTATTGTTTTTTTCTCTCAGTGTGAACATGTTCAGCTCTCGGTGTATGTTGTGCTCTCGTAAATTTTTTTATTTTATTTTATATATATTTATTTGTCTTACGTGTGTCCTGAACTTATGTGGGACATGTTGAATAGGCGTAGTTTGTAAGTCACAATTTCCAGCTGTGTAACGGATGACATTAGCTTGCTAGCCATCTGTGTTGCTAATGTTTTGCTAACTTATCCAGTTAGTTTGGGTTGCTATTCTGAAAGCTCGATACAGAGTCGGTCTTGACTGCTACCAAATAACTCTGCTGTGTTATTTGAATATTAGTTAGCATTTGCAAAATAATTGCCTCAAGATAAAGTAAAGCACATTAAGTTAGGTAGCAGCAGAGAATGACTTGTGGGCATCAACTTTACCTGCTGGGTGTTGAAATTATGTCTTTGCTTTAATAAACTCTTCCAAACATAAATATTTTTACATTTTGTCAAGTCACAACGTACTTTATCAGGTGGTTTTAACTGGAGACTAGTAATTTTTACATAATGTAAAGGGAAATGTTTACAAATACAAATCTAATTAGTGTAGAATGCATTTGTATTCTTTTAGTCTAATAATTTGTCAGTCTGCAAGTTTAAGAATGTGTAATCAGGTTCACATGACCATTATTTATACTGATGAGTCAATAATAAGCACAACCTGTCTGTACATTGTTCTAATCTCTGTATGTTTTCTGTTTGTTTACAGGATGTTCAGGGGTCCACAAATACTGGTTTGGGCTTGTAACTTAAGGTCACTGCAGCTGTCAAAGGAATTTCGCCTTCTTGCTTTCTCTGAACACATTGACTCAACATGTTTGGAAGTAAGACACATTCGTGCTAGGAGACATGATCAAATCCATGAAAAAAGCACAAAGACTTTATGCTGTTCATCTCAGCTGACGTCTTTCAGCACAGACAGTGAGAATTATCAGCTAGAAGGCCTTATATCTGAAACCCCCATTTCCAAAGCCATTCTGAAAAGCCGCTGTCATCACCCTCAGGTCTCTGCCAAAACCAAAGCACCTTATATTTTCAGCACTTTCTGGCACTGTTTATTCAACAGGACTTCCTGGCCTTTGGATCTTAGCCCGGCTACATCTTATAATATACCAGCACTTAATCCCCGGGTCTCAAACCAGCTCTACTGTCGAGCACAAAACAACTATCACTCCGTCCATCAAATCAGAACTGTTCATCAGGCTGTCCCTCATGTAACAGACATCTGGAAGGACTGCCTGTCCCTTGAGAACGAAAACAGATGTCGACAGATCCTGCAGGCCAACTGGAAGCACTACGACATGGACAAAGTGAGGCAAGGGGCCGGCCAGGCTCAAGGACAGAACAAAGGGAAGTGGGCTTCGATCTTGATTTCCCTCTGCTACGATAAAGGAGGACCGGCGTTTCTGTTTACTCTGCGCTCCTGTATGCTGAAGGGCAAGCACAAAGGAGACGTCAGGTTAGTGGGAGGTGGGAGGCTGGAGACAAGCACACACTACAACATTTTCCTGTATGTCACATTTCATTGATTTGCAGGCAGAGTACTATATTATCTGTCCTTCTTGTAGCTTTGCTGGAGGAAAGGGTGATCCATCAGACAGAGATGTAGTGGCCACTGCATTGCGGGAAGCCAGAGAGGAGCTGGGAGTTACTATTCCAGCTGAAAGGGTCTGGGGTGTCATGAAACCTCTGAGGGACACAGTGAGTGGAAGGTGTTTTGATCTGATTTGAAGGCTTACTTTGATTTGTCCCCTGTTGAATCCACAGAAGTAATAACTATAAAGATATATATATATATATATATATATATATATATATATATATCATTGAAGGGGCGGTACTATGTATTTTCCAGGCATGAAGTACCATCTCACAGCATAATTAAGTAACTATGCTACATTCAGTCGTTATAAACATGACTTGAACGAAATTTGACTTTGCAATTTGGTGCCTTGAAATTGGCATCTGTCTCTTTAAGAAGCTCCCACTCTTTCCGACACTCCACCTTCAGCATGTTAAATCTCAATATGTCATTTACATATCTCAGTCTCAGTGCTGGACTGAGAAAATGTTTGTATAATGAGATCAGAAGAGACGCAGTTCTACCAGGTGTTTGCTTATTGCTGCTAGTTTGAAGAAGCTGAATGAGGAAGGTGCAAAGGAGGGTCCAAGGAGGAGCTTTGTGGAAATATAGGGTGTTTGTGAGAGCAGGCTTCAGGCACCCCTGAATGGTTGCCATGGGAGATTCAAGGATTTCCCTAACATGCATGGAAGAATGAAAGCCACAGGGAGGTATTGGTAGAAATCTCCTTGAGTCTAAAAAAGGCTTGACTGGAGAGGTCCACCATTCAGCAATTAACAATTCTAACTTGTTTGGATGTTAGAATGGCCCAGTCAAAGTCCAGACTTAAAGCCAGCTGAGAAGTTGGTCGTAATGTAAGGAAGCTCAAGGCTTGTGACTTAACAGTATATCTTGTTATTTCTCTGCAGTCAGGGATGATGATTGCTCCGGTGTTGGCTAACCTTGGTCCTCTTGAGGAGTTGGCATTCAAACCAAACCCAGAGGAGGTATAGTCAAATCCAAACCAAGATTGTTTTTTTTTTTTGTTTTTTTTTTTTGTTTATTTTGTGTAATTTCTTCAAAACTTTAATTGAACTTGTTTTGTCTGTATTTCCTTCAGGTGGACGAGATCTTCACCTTGTCCTTGTCACACCTGTCCAATCCGCAGAATCGCGGCTACACAAACTTTCGTACTGGCAACAAGTATGGATACACACTACCAGTGTTTCGTAACAGCAAACACCGAGTATGGGGTCTGACTGCAGTCGCTCTGGACCATACTCTCAAACTTCTTATACCTCCATATGGATCTGTTACTGAGGTTTTCAATGGCTGAACGCTTCTTTTTGTAGCAGACCTCAATAATCGGTTAAGAAAATCTGGATTTCTTACATCCGGTCGAATGTTTAATAATTCTGTTGTGTTTATTAACGTGTTAGGAGACGGATCTTTTCTCTTATGCATTTGATGATTATATATTATAATCTTTTATGAGGAATCAAGACAGCAGTCAGATTTTTTGACCTCACTGAAAGGCACTGTTGAAGGTTTTCTTCTGTTCTTTTTTTTTGAAGTAAAGTGAAGGAGAATATTTAAGTGTTTGACTAAAACACAAGGAAACTTGTGATGTCATATAGTGAACCAAGCACAAATAGAAAAAGAGTTTACCTTCTTAGTTCATTGTTGATCAAATCCTAAATAATCAAGGCTTTTCATATTTGTTGAAGAACAATGCAATAAAAAAATTATTTTAAAGCAGTATGCAAGTGTTTTTTATTTTACAGTATTGACGTTAAAGCAAGAAACTGAAAAGTCAGTTCACTTAACAATTGTTTCTTACTTCATCTGTAGACTTGAACCATTAGTTTTAGGTCCATTTAAAGTTGCACCACTTTAAATGCCTTCATGCTCACGTTGCTCAGCGAATTCAGTAATTTCTTGGTCAAAGGTCATGTAGCTTTATCCCGACCTCCAGAAGGACAAAGAGCAAATGTTCAATTCTGAAGGACTTCACAACCTTGCCCTGCAGTTATTTTCTAGTTAAAACACTAACATATACAGCCCCCTTTACAGCAGTAAACGTGTTGCTGCAGTTTCAGCTTTAAGGCTGTGAACACTCCACTGGGTCTTGTGAGTCTGGTAAGAGGTGGCAGTTGAAAGGCCAGCTAAAGGAGAAGAGGTCCAGCGCCTGGCTGCACTGCTGCTCAGCGGAGGAGCAGACTGAGCGGCAGGGCTGGAGGACCCCACCCTGAGGGCTGCACTGAGGAAGAAACATCCCACACACCAGCTTTCGTAGAGGCTCGAAGCACGCCAGCTCCATTAGCACCTGTCCACAGAACAAAGTAAACGCTGATTATCACTGTCTGGCTATAACCTGTGTTAAAAATGTCTGTACTGATAAAACGTGTCATAACAGTCTACTTTATTTGAGTAGTTTGATTGTAACTAACGAGCTAGACACATAAGTGACACCCTAAACTCTCCCCACACATCAAAGAACAAGTTAAGGTTATAGTCTAAGTCTGTGACTTCAAATTACAGCTCATAGTCACCTCCCATAAACACACATTATGGGTATATTACACATTTTCTGAATCTTTAGAGTCTGTGTAGTATTTCAGTTGTTAACTCTTGTGTCCTTCGTGTCCCTGGATACAACTGGGCCAAAAGAAATGTATCGTTTAGGCAAGAAGTGTGCATTATTTTTGGTTTAACAAGGTCTAGTAACCTCTGCGTTGTTGGTCAGGGAGATTCCAAACATGGTTCAAACATGATTCAAACACTATGTTATAGATTTATGACAAATATCCGTAGCATAAGCCTCATCTGGACATTCACCAGTTTCATAAAACAGAATTGGTCCAAAGAGGTTAACCTTATGAACTACTTATGACTAATCCACCACTTTGAAAGGGTAATCACACCTAAATATCTAGAAACTAAAAGACGTGTATTTTTCAAAAATTATGGTTAAGCATTGCCATCCTGAGATGGACCAAAAATTGGTCTGGTCCATGGATGTATATGGTTTGTTTTGGAGTGTGGCTGCTCATCCCAAAACATTTTGTTTTTTTCTTTCTTTCCAAACTAGTTATTGTGACTCTTTGAAGCAATAAAGTAAAAGAAAATGCGTTGGCACAGTAAAATCCTTTCAGGTGTGTTATTATTATGTGTTATTAAGGTAACCTTTACCCGGTACTGTCGCAGGAGTGTAGCGGCTTCCCTCTGGTCAGCGATGGACAGCCATATGTTGGGGAATGAGGTAAAGTTGTAACTGAGGCCCTGACACATCTCCACCTCTATGATCTCACATGATGAAGCTGGTGTTATGTGAGGGAGAAAAAAAAAAAAAACACTTAAATTTATTGAAACAGCTGTAAGAAATCTGAACTCATTTAAATTGGGACGTCTTTTGTGTCTGAGCTTCCTGTGTTTCCTTTACCCTGATATGAACAACAGATTATCTCCTATGTCAACCTCTCAGCAGCAGCAGACAAAAGAAACTATCAGTGCTTCTTGATTGAGGCCGGTGATAACGTGGACTCACTGAAAGGAGGGTAGGTGGAGTTAGCACAGCCCTGCTCATCAGCACCGTCTGAACAGTCGCTCCACCCGTCACACAGCCACTGCTGCTGAAGGCACTCCCCTGTGCTGCAGGCGACCTGGTTCGGGCCACACGTTCCTTATCGGGGCAAACAAAAACAAACAAAGTCGGTATGACAATATGCGTGCTTTTAGATATGCTGGTTTTTCGCCTTCTCTTGCGACGTGTCAAGGACAGAAACATTTGCATTGGAACCTGGTTGCATTTGTATTTATAGTATGTTATTAAAAGGACAAATCTACATTAAGCTGCAAAAGATTCAGATTCTCTCAGTTACCAAACAACATCAATAATTTCATTGGGCTTTTCTGTAACAGACCAACATGCCGAGTAGCTGTGAAGGGAATGGAAAATGCATGCACCGATTGCAGAAACGTAACAGATAAAAAATTTCAGCTCCTCTTGAGTTAGTGGTAACAGTAGTAGCTGCAGTATTTCTCTACCACCTTTGCACATGTAGGAACTGAAATTCTTCATAATTCTCAGCTCCTGTCTTAAATCTTTGTAGCCTCTGACAGATGTTTTTTCTAGGGCTACTTGTATTTAGCTGTCTGAATGTTCTTGTCCTTGCTGTAAAAAAGCAGCTGGATGCTGCCGTCATTATGAGAAATCAAGCTGATGGTGTGTTCAGAGTGATGGGCAGTGTTTTTGCTTTGCTATAAATGATGTTATGCACCGTTTTGTAATGTTCTCAGTAACTTTTGAGCAACAGCTTATTTTCTTTCGACACATGTTGGAAATATGGGGGTGAAATTAGAGGGATAATAAGAAACAAGAACGCTAACTTTATTAAAGCAAAGACTCACTGTTCAGCACAGACACAGCCCGGTATGTTGCGTTAAAGCCGCTGTCTGCCACGCCCTCATCTGCCACAAACACCACTGTCATGTGCGGGCCAGAGGAGGTCAGGTCTGGTGGGAAGGTAGTACCGCAAAACCTGTCACCGAGGCACAACAGCTCTGCCTTAGTGCAATTCTTGAACTCAGGCGAAGGAAAACACAAATATTATCACAGTCAAAGAGCTTCTTACCGCCCTAAAACTCTCCCGGCTCCAATGCTGCTGCTGTCATGAACCTCCACATAGTCAAACTCGCACACATCCTGCGTCTCCAGACTGAAGTTTCTGAAGCTTAGCTTGATGATGTGACCCTCATCAACAGATATATGCCACACGCACGACTAGGGGACATAAAAAAGGCTGTTACTTTTCAGTTATTAGTAGTCTGGGTGTGTTTGGTTGTTACCTGTTGGTGAGGATAAGGCCTGGGGTGATTCGGACTTGCCAGGTAACCATGCGGCCCAGACTTCTGACCACCGCATTCTGGAAAACAACAGCGATCACAGATCCTTTCTTCCTGTTGGGTTTATAATAGCGTCTGTGCTCTCACCTTTGTGCTTTTGACTACAGTTTGCCTCATCTGTTTGGTCGTTACAGTTTGGATGACCGTCACACACAGACACAGGCAGCAGGCACCGGCCACCATCACACATGAACTCTTCTCTGCTGCAGCTCTCTGGGGAAACAGAGAAGATCCTGGGGTGAAAGTGGAAATGAATGTGAGTTTGCACAAACATAACAGGGGTTCCCAAACTTTTCCAGGCCATGGCCCCCCAAACAGCATTAGCTTCTGGCCGAAGACCCCTTTTGCAAACCCACAGACAATGCTACAAAATTTATAAAGAGACATTAACTTTTAGATTTTATCTTCTCACATTCATCTGCTAGTCAGTAATGATTACATTCATTTCCAGAAATGCTCCTCACATCTTCTAATTTTAGGTGGCCATGAGTTTTGTGGTGGAACAATATAAATCAGATAATTTTATCAGATAACTTTCTTAGAATTCTTACTTTTGATGTCAGACAGTTATGGTCGTCTTCTGACTGTAATTCTGAGATTATAGTGAGAATCTCAGAGTTCTGACTAATCTCCCTGACATCAAAAGTAAGAATTCTCAGAAAAAGGTCAAAATTCTGGGGGAAAAAAGTCAGAATTGTGAGATTTTTTCTTTTTCAGCAGCGGGAATCCTCTTCTGTTAATTGTATTTAATTTCCACATTAGAGGGGTTTTTTCCACACTGTCCTCCACAACAGGAAGAAAAATGTTTTTCACCTTCACTCTTTGTCTTATTGTAAACTTTTCCATTTCACTCTTCCTATTTGCTGGCTTGAGGAAAGGAAGTTGATCAGGAAGATGAGTGTGGCCCTCTTTGGGACAATAACGGCAATTTCTTCCATCCCTGCTTTTCAATGATGATTGAAAAACAGATTACATTTATAAAATAAATAAATAAAATGAATGATTTAAAACATCATTTCTTTCATGTAACTTCCCCCCCCCCACCTCATCTTCCCTCCAGCTTTTTGAGGGGCCCTCCGTGGGGCCGAGGCCCCCCACTTTGAAACACACTGATCTGGAACACTGAATACTGACTTTGTGCAGGGGGGACAGCTTTGTACTGCGCAGCAAAGCCGGCGCCGGCGATGCTGCCGTCAGAGTGGAAGGTGACCCACACGGTACTGCTGTTTGTGTTGATCGTTGGTGGGGCGATGTTACCACAGAACCTGAAGAAAATGATTCACTTCAATCATTTTACTATGTTGTCGTGTTACAACATTTCGTATGTAAAAAGGTCAACACGTTCCTGAGTAGATAAAAATTTTGCATGCAAGCCTTTTGACTAAAAGGACTACAAATATTTGCAAATCTTTAGCGCCATCTTGTGTCATTTTTTTTTAAACACCTCTTCCAAAAGATTGAGGTGCAAACCTTACATTGGAGTTAAGCAGCTTAGAGTAATAAACCTGTGGTAGATTTAGATTTTCATCCTGCCCGCAACCTGACCGACCTGGTGAACACTGAGACCTGCTCGACCTGCTGCTGAACCTCCAACCAGTCAAACAGACAGGGGGAGGGTCCCTCCACTGCCAGATAGGAAACACGGATCTGAACCAGGTGTGGGGGTGCGACCCGGATCTCCCAGACGCAATGTGAGTTTGAGGGGTAGGAGCCAGGGTGGTTTGGGGAACTGAAACTGCCCCCTGAGTCAGTCAGGACACCTCCACAGCCTGGGAGACAGAGAGGAATATTTTATTAAAGGGGAAAAACAAATATGCACTGAAAGAAACGTGAGTACTGTTGACTGAGGATCGACGTACTTGTTTCAGACTGGGGGATCACAGCAGGCTGTGGTATGACTGTGCTGTCCATGTGACTTCTGTTCAAAGGTGCTGCGGTTGGAGTGTGGGGCACATCATGCCCTGTGCTCTGTAAGCCTGCAGAGGTCGTTGCCAGGTGATTGTCCACTGCCTGGCTTTTCAGCTCTAAAAGAAAAGCAGGACATACTGAGAAAATGACACACATCTGGACAGAGACTTTTGTCTACTGTACATTTTAAAGTCCATTCATCCATTCTTCTCAGTCATTTTTAAGTATCACCTATTGCATTCTGAGCAACTGCGTGCAGCAGGAACTCACGGGTGAGAATAAGAGCCAGCGCCAGTCCGATGGCTGTTAGCAGGAGCAGGGCAGCAGCAGAGACCACCACCGCCCCCCACCCACCACCTCTGCCTCTGAGCCGCATGGAGCACATTTCCACAAAACCTGAAGGACAGATTAAGCATTTAATCTGATTTTAAATACCTTAATTTACTCCTACACTGCATAAACACAGAATCTGATCAAGTTTTTTTTTTTCCTCTGGCAGATTTTTTTCACTCACAACATGTAAAAATGGCTTGTTGGGTGAAATAATCTAATATTGGAACAGTGCTTTTTATCTATATTAAATGACTGACTTAAAACAAGCGCCTATATCTTGCTGAAAAGTTGCCTGTAAGTTAGTTTTGTCTTATTTCAAGTGTAGTAAGATATTTACACAAAACTACTTTTTGTGTTTTTGAAGTGTAGCTTAATGAAATGTACAAAGCCTCACGATGAACAAAACTAAAACGTTTCATTTCATGTGATACACAGACTCTCCGAGTTCTGCTTTCTGTCCAGGTAAACGCAAAGCAATGGATGGATTTGACTGTTTTCACAGTCATGAAAAAAACTAACAAGTTTGCATTAAGTAAAACATGCAAGCTAATTATCTCTATAGTCCCTCACTTAGTTGAGCTACTCATTGGTATAATTTATTGTATGTAAACCCAAACTTTAAAATCCATAAATAAATGAAATGTCAGTCAGGGATTGGCTGACTCACTGGCTGCTGGGGGTTTGATTGGTTCAGGGGTGGATGAGGAAGTCCTGAAGCCGTCCACCCGCTCTTCCTGCTCCCCCTCCAGCTCAAAAGCGGGATTACAGAACACATTCTGTAGAAAGGAAAAGGGAATTAATTTAAACAAGATTTTATTAACCGAGAACTTTTTAAATAGACAGTATAAGAGAACATAGTCGTCCTAAATGACGTATGTTAGGACTGTCTTGTTTTTAGCTAGCTCAATATGTTGACCTTGCGGTTGTATCACTTTAAAAAGAATTGTTTCAATTAATTGACATCGGTCTGCTAAAGGTCATGCCACATTGTCATGGATTTATCTTGAATTTGACCACACCACTCCAGAGCCTTCAAATAGTTATTTAAAGCAATTTATAGAAGAATCTGCTGGTGTGCTTCATTGTCCAGCTGCATAACCAAGATGTTTTTGGGTTTAAAGTCAGAAACAGATTATTTCTCGGATGTGATAGAATGCACACCTTTCAAAACATTTACAGCCATCATTAAGATGTTTTCTGGCCAATGTCTATTCTGTTTCGTCAGCAGATTGTTGTTCAATGTCTTTCATATTACTGAATCTCTAAAACTGACCTAAAGTGAGTCGGGTAAGGCCTTAGATATTGTTGTGGGTTCTCTTAAAACCTTTTTGATGAGTCTTTGATACTGTCTGGATTACCCAGATGCAAAAAAACATTTAGTAGGCTGTCCACTCCAGGAAGTGCTCCTCACTGTTCCATATGTTCTCCTTTTGTAGATAGTAACTCTCACTGTGGCTCGGGCCCACTGTTGTTACTCATAAAATTAAATAGTACTAACATTCAAACCATCTACCACCAGCTTATTGCTTTCCAGCTTACCTTATAAATGTCAGAGGAGTCAGAGTAAACAGAGACCTGGCTGAGATCAGACATCTTCTGTCTCAAAGGGAAATTCTGATTCCGGTCAGCAATCCTCTCCAATGGTCCGGCGTATTTAGGAATAAATCTGGAGGGACATCGCAAAGACAGAGCTGTTTCTGTATTAGAATTTTTCAAGGACATTTTCCAGCGTTTTCTTACCATCATGCATTTTGCCCAAACAGTTAGCCTTCTCTTTGACTGCAAAATCTTCCAGTCTTCGATTCTCCTGCACATAGAAATTCTTTGTTGGCAATCCATAACCATAATTCTCACGAAAAGCAGCAATAAAACCAAGATAATTCAGGGGGAAGGAGTTTTAAGTTGCAGTTGTCAACATAACCGTCCTCGGTGCTCTTTATTCTCTGTATTTCTCTTGTGTGTTTTTGAAAAACTGGCTACAAAAGGGTTTCAGAAAGTTGTTCCCAGTGCTCAGCAAAGCCATGTCAGCTGAGAGGACTAAGCCCTGAGAAGGAGGGGAAAATTAAAGTGAGGGGGGCTGTTTGGGGTTTGCTAAAATGTTTGTAACACTTAGGTTGTACAGAGACATACGGTCGCACGGCTGAGCAGGAGCGGCCTGGCGATCAAACATTTGAGTGCAAACAAACATGAACGGACAAACAGAATTTTAGGCAACGGGTGAAGACGAAGCAGAGTTAGTTACTACCTCAAAAGTTTGAGGTAATCGGTGCAGCTTGGTCTGGGAATATCAAATCTGTTATTTTGAATATGCAAAGTTGTCTTTATATGCCTTACTAGAGAGTACATGGTTTACTCTGAAAACAGAATCATTCAGCAGAAAGGGGTAGTGTCACTAAAAACGAAAGTGCTGAAATAAATCTATTTTCTGTCCTAAATTGCTCAATCCCTCTGTCCCTGTTTGGTAGCTGGATGTTAATGGGTAATCAGTCATCAAATAAAGCCACCGACTGCAGGACGACTCAGAAGGTCCGTTAGTGGTCTCTGCCACTTAGAAACAGAGAAACCGAACTCTGCCGAGTCTGATCATGAGTGTTAAATCCGCACTGTGGCTCCTTGTCTCCATCACCGTCCTGGAGGGTGAGTGTGTCAGTTTTATTCAATATTTGCAACACCAAATGGGGATCGCTTGGTCCAAAATGACTGGTTGCATTTGCGTGTTTGTCTCAAACATTATTTAACCTGTTGTGCTCCAGTGGCTCCACAAGAGTTTGACTACTACTCCGAAACGTACGATGACCAAGGACCTCTGAACTGCTCGACCACGGAGACGATCAAAGGCGGGAGTGTCACATACTCAGAGGTGGGGATTATGAATCGCTCCCCACTTTATCACAGCAATGTCACGCTGCTATTTAAATAAGGTGTCACATTTACATCAACATCTTCATCTCAACAAATTAGAATAACTGTCAAAAACTTTATAGATTTCAGTGAATTAATTCAAGAAGTGAAGGCCATTGTAGGTCATAAATTCATGACCTACAGAGTGATGTTTTACAAGCATCATATTCTGATAGGGTTGATTTTATGACTCCCAGGTGTTGGTTCCTGTAGCAGTGAGGGTGGGTGGCATCAAGACCTTCTGGAAAATAAAATCATCTTCTGCATGAAGCTTGTCGGCAGAAAGAACCATAAAGTGTTTGACAATTTCCTGGTCAACAATTTGGATAGCTTTGGACTTAGTACTGAAGTTGACCAATGCTAACAGGTAGCAATAGTGGTGCCGTATCAAAAATGATGGGCTGAATTTGATATGTTTTGACTTTAAACCTGTCTTACAATTTATATATATTTACTTGGGACTTGACTTGAGTTGCAAACGACTGACTTGGTCCTCACTCTGATTGTGTGTATGGGTGTGTGTGTGTGTGTGTGTGCGTGTGCGTGTGTGTGTGTGTGTGTGTGTGTGTGTGTTGACTCTTAATGCTCTGACTCAGGCTGTTCGTCAGAGCATTCATGTGTTTTTATT